TTATGAGTAGAAGCGAGTATGCTCTAATACAATGATAAAAAGCATCGCATAGTAAATCCTAGGGGAAAGGAATTTTTCATCTCTACCATCACTTTACGGGAACCCCATCTTGTACGTGGTCTGTCGTTGACCAGAACGCTGTGATGCGGCGCGTGACTGGGTGTCACCATTACGCTTTAGAAACCAGCGAAACCTTAGCCAGGCCCTCCCGATCTGGTCCTATCACTGCATGACACCCTTTTCCTCTGCTGGCCGCCACGGTGGGGGCTCTGCCTGTTCATCCTTTCTCCAGGGGCCTGTTCAGACGGTCTCCAAAACCTTCTGGGACCGCACCACGTGGAACTCACTGTGCTCTCTGTGCTGCACACACTTCACCTACGCTGCAAATGCAGCACTTCCCACTCCAGGGCATTCCAACACTCACCTGTGCCTCCCTGGGATCAAGGGAGCAGGGAGGGCAAACGATCGGAACCACAGGGCACTTGGCCCAAGCCAGGTGTTCAATAAGGGTTGAGAAATTAAATGAATAAATGTCCACTATGTATATAAACAAGCACACACTGTGCACGGTACGCACAAAGCAAAGCTAACAGGGACACAAAGTGCGTGGCAAAGCCACCCCTGAAATCAGCTTATTTCCAGGTGAGGACAGGAAACTTGTTTCCTAGTAAGTTAAATACCCAGAAGTTTGGAGTTTACACGGCTCTCCCACAGCACGCCGGGTGAACGGCCTCACCAATGCACAGGAAGAAAAGGAAATGGTATTTGTGTCACTTACCACCAGGCATGTGGCTGTCCAATACTCTATACACATTATCACATTTAATTTGCTCATGCGGTTGATCACATTTTAGAGACGAGGAAACCAAGGCTCAGGGAAGTTACGCCACTTGCTGAAAATCACAGCGAGCAGGTAGCAGAGGCAGAACAGAGACCCGAGCCCAAATCCCAAAGCCTTGTTCCGTCACACAACTCAGTCAAGCAGCTGGCCCAACTCTTTATTTAAAATGCTAAGGGTTGCTTTCACGACAGTCACGCATTCTGGGTGGAAAAGATTTTGCCTACCAAAAGTTACATTGTTAAGTAATAATTTTCCATGTGTATCAAAACCCTGTCATCTGGGTTCTAATAGCAAAACTCTTACCGATGAATAGCTATTATCAGAATAGATGTAATTCTAGCTCAAAGTACACAAACATATGTGTGTGTGTGTGTGTGTTTATACATATATTATATGTTGGGTTTATTTAATCTTATGGCTAAATATAGTTGTCACTAGACTTTGTTTAAGGACTAAATAGAAAAGTAGACACTTCCACCTGCCCAGATAACTGGGGGCCCGTGACTTGAGGTAGAACCACAGCACCCCACTTTCTGAGCCTCATGTGTACCCATCTTTGGGCTGAGAGTAGTATTATCTCTAATTTTACTAATAGAAGGCATCAGACTAGGCACAACTCTGTCAGAAATAAGAAAACATACATATTCTAAGTAAAACTATAAAATGCCACAAGTATAGGTGAGCCCAAAATGGCTCTAATGTGTCCCATTTTAGCTTAAGACATCACCTACATATTAGATTTTGGTCCATAAAGAATCTCCCAGGCCACCCTACACAGGGGTTGAATCCCTGCTTGACAAAACGATCGTAGAATTGGCTCCCGTGGTAGGGCCGGGCTGCCTCATTTTGACTAAAATGTCAAAAATCCTTTCTCTCCCTCCAGTTTTTCAGCACAGAAACTGTTGGTTATACTTAGATTTCACACTTTTGCACACAAACACTCAGCTTCACTTTGGGCCACTTAAAGTTCCGTCTCGCACTCAGCCAAAATGGAACCGTTTGTGCTAACTGGTAGCCCCTGTGGCCTCCCAGTGGCCAACGCCCCACACAGCCCCTGGAACCGGTGTTCAGACCCCCAGTGAATGCACAGGCTGTCTGCGACCTCCTCAGGACCCAAGACGACCTCTGAACTTAAGCTAACGCCATCAGGCACCCTGCAAGAAGAAAGGAAGGGCCACGGGAACATGCTCAGGGCAGCGCCAATGTGCGTAACTGGCAAGCAAACACTCTTCATGCTCAGGCTAGTTTGGGAAACGCAGGTTAAATGCACAATTGTTGTGCGATCCTCAGGGCTTCCCCCATGCTCTTGGCCACCCGGCATGTCCTGGCGGCAGGGACATGCAGTGACAGGGACAGACATGCAGTGTCTAGCAAACGCACCGAACTACAAAAATCATTTCTGAGCCGCACCTTTTAAGACAAACGCCCCTCAGAACACACATATGGGGAAAGCTGCCCAAAACCCTTTTTCTATTCCTGCCACCTGACACCCAGACTCAGAAGCCAAGTGGGAAGGAGCGAGGCCCGCTGCCTGCCTGCACGTGACAGGCACTTTACACATGTCCCTCCATCTGATCTTCGAGGCGGCTGTTTCTGGCTCCGTCACGCAGGTGTGGTGAACGAGGCCGCTCAGGTCTGAAGCAGAGCTGGCATCCGGGCACAGGGACACCCGACTCCAACTGCCACGCTTCCTCTCAGGCCCCTTCGTCCTTGAGACAGGTTCACGTCAGCACTTCACAGCGATTCTGCAGTAACACTTGTTTTTTCAGGAGTGCCTCCCCCAGTCGTGCACTGCTGTCTACCTGCCCGTGTCTGTCCCCCAGGCAAAGGGAGGCTGTGGCTCCTCCGGCCACAGGGCCTGGGCTCCTCCCACAGCCTGGGGTGACCTGGAGCCTACACAGAGGAGAAGGCGGGTGACAGAAGGGACCACGGCAGCTGGACGCCTCCCCCCTCCTGCCCCTGCCAGCACACAGGTGGTTGCTTCTCTTCACGCTACCCTGAGCCGCAGACAGAAGCTGAACCACTTTGAACATTTTCGTTTTTAATAAATAGCGGTGGAAAAAAAAAAATCACAACTGTCTCACCGTCCCTTGGTGCTCCTGGCACCCCCGTTTGAGAAAACAGGGCTAGCCAGCCTCTTCCTTTCGCAGCCACGGACTTAAATTAAGCTTTTGGTGCAAATTAAAGCAGCTCATTTGTTTTTGCTGCAATTCTCTAGGCATAGCAAACAAAAACAACAAAAACGGAGGCCTTGGTGAAAAGGCCAGGAAGAAGGGAGTATTTCCGGAGTTGTTCAAGGGAAGGACACAAACCAGGAGCCCTGGCTGCAGGCAGGTGACTGGGGACACGGCAAACACGCCCCGCCCGGGGCACTTTCAGCAGAGGGCTCTAGCCACCCACCCCCGCAGGCAAGAGGGGCGACTTGCATGGAGCTAGTGAGAAGCCGGGCCGTCTAGCCCACCTGGAAAACGGCAAGGAGCCCCCCTGGCTGCGTTAATTGCAAGGAGGTTGTTCCTCAGCTCAGAAAAATGTCAAAAGCAATTTCCCTCCCTCCAGGTTGAAGCTATTTTCCTGGGCCTTTAACGAGGCATTTTTCTTGGATGTCAACCACAGCACTGGGATCGACTCACTTCGCCTCGATCCCGGGGCCTGTCTTGACTAGCTCTTCTGAGTCCTGCACTAAACGAGGGGCTCGGGGGACAGAGATCGAGCCAGAAACTCTTCTGCCATTAGGAGAGCCCGAGCACCATGAATCAGAAGTCTGAAGGCGCAGGCGAGAACGCGTGTAGAGCTCCGTCTCCCTGTCTATAAAGCGGAGAAGAAAATGTTCGCTGTGCTACCAGCCCAAGGAGACCAGGTGGCAGGAAAGAAACGAAGGCCGAAAACACAGACAGGAAGGAGTAAGGTGCCGGGTGCAGAGGGAAGAAAGACAGTGGCAGGTTTCAATCAGACGTCTGACCAGTCCTCGGGCAGGCCGTCCGCATGGCCCGAGTGCAAGTGCAACAGCAGTTAGGTGCAGAAGCAACTTTTTGCTTTTTGTAGTTGGAAGAAAGGTTTTTTTTTTTTTCTTTTCTGTATTTTTTTAATGATAAATGTGGTATTTTATTTTTTAGCCTTATTAAGGTATAATTGACAAAAATTGACTATACGTAAGGTGTACAATGTGATGTTTTGACGTGTGTATGCGCTGTGAAATGAGCTGTCTGTCCAATGAGCTAACTACCACAATCGAGCTGTCACCTCACATAGTTACCATTGTGTGTGTGTGTGTGTGTGTGTACATGCACATGTGTGTGGTGAGAACACTTCAGATCTATCCTTATAGAAAATTTTCAGTATACAACCTGGTATTCTTAACTCTAGTCTCCATGCTGTATGTTAGGTTTCTAGAACTCACTCGGCCTGCATAACTGAAACTCTGTGCCCTTTCATCTACATCTCCCCATTCTCCACAACCCTTGGCAACTACCAACCTACTTTCTGCTTCTGTGAGTTCACTCTTTTTTTTTTTTTTTCCATTCCTTGAATCGGAAGAAAAAGCAAGTAAAATTCAATGAGATTAACTGAAAGTAAACCTTAAGCACACCTTTTTCCTTTTCTGATGGATGAAATTTGGGGCTTGAGTTCGACTCAAATCCCAAACTTCTTGAGTTAGAAGATCCTATAGTTATTAAGCCCCAAAAGAATGTTTGCTGGTATACCTTAAAAAAATTTAAATGTGATTTTTAAGATGTCTACATTCTAGTTTAGCACTAAAGCAGTGAAAGATGACACTAATAACTGAATGTTCTAGCTACACACAGTCACCAGGTTGGCACCGCTATAATTCCAGGCATGTGATTATTATATTAAATTTAAAATGAGGTGTGGAAAAGCTTTTGCTGTCTAGCAGGGGGAACATGTGCTGTGATAAGTGTTCTTAAATTGTGTTACTAGCCTGTAAAATTCTGTCTGGGGGACTGGCTTTGCCCACAAGTAACTGTAATGGAAATCTTCTGCCTTGGGAGACTGCCCAGCCGGCAGAAAAATTATTCCAAGAACTGTGCAAAGGCCTCAAGAAGGGGACTCCATGAGGTGTGCTTGGCGTCTCTGAAAATGAAAGCAACAACCTGCTCCTACAATTATTCGAAGCATGCATTTTTATCCAGAAAGGACCAACCAGAGTACAGAAGATGCACTGGCACTGGGCTATGGTCGTCATCTGCTCCACAGGATACTCCCCAAGACACAGCTTGCAGGACACCAGCGGGTCGAGGGCCAGGTCCCAGGTGGGCCGGTACCTTGCTGTGGTCATCGCAGAGCAGTCTGGAATGAGAGAAGCACAGGCAGTCAGACCTCCTGCCTGGGCCTCCATGGGGCACAGGGCAGGGGTCTCCTCTCTGGGCTGCAGAGGGGGCCCAGGGTGGTGGCCGGCTGACTGCTGATGGGCCAGAGGCTTCACACGGACTCATTGGGGTCCTCTGAGAAGTCTGGACCAGGGCTCCCCGGACCGGGTCTGTGTGTGGTCCATTGGCCATTCTGATGGTGTCTTGCACGCCCACCCTCAGAATGGCAAGGGGCTTACCCACTCCCCAGCCTTCCTCCCCTCCCCCCACCAACCCACGTGCATTTAGCGAGACACCTGCCAACCACCCACCCAGCCCAGGACGGCAACACTTAGCAACCGTGGAACAGAGGCTTTTGTTACGGTAGTGACTGCTTGGATTTAACGGTTCTCCAGTGTTGGAGACACTCGGTGAATGAACATGAGGACAAGCCTGGGCAGAAAGAGGGGTCAGAGCAGAAGGGCCTGGTGGCAGATAGGACGCTTGAGTTTAGAGGGGACGTCGCACCCACAGAGGTGGAAAGGAGGCAGATATCTGAACAGGGGAAGAAACAGCCTAGCATCCTTCCCAAGAAGACGGTGTGGGGGCCAGAGGGGTGGGCAGAGCCAGCCCCGTGCTTTGCCGTCAGTCGGAACCACATTCCCAAACTCCTTCTGCCCCATAACCAGCTCGGTGACTGAACCACGACCAGCCTCCATTTGCTCATCTATATGATGGGTACACAATCCATCCCACATGGTGTTGGAAGGATTAAGGGAGACCACATAAAGGGCCTGCCACACACAGCAGGTGCTCAGCGAAAACCCGATCTTCCCTTTCCCGTGGTGTCTCCTGTGGCCACGGTTTACCCGACTATGAGAAGGAGTCTGACCCTGCCACATGCTCTGCAGGTAGCTGTTGGGTCTCACTGTCACTTGTGCAGGTGACCCTAAGGTCAAGGGGTTGTCAAGGCTTTTATTGCACATTTACGTCCCTTTCTCAAGTTTTGCACTCACAGCTCGCTGTGTGTCCCTGAGCAATGTTTAGTTGGGACAAGCCACTTGCCGAATTCTCTGCGGGGCACCCCGGGAGGAACCTGGCACCTCCTGGAAACCTGGCAAGCAGACGAGACGCACGGCGAGGATCCTGAGAGGCAGACACGTGGCCGGCGGCAGTGGGGAGCCTGACCCCAGGGCCCAGGCACGTGAGGGGCGATGGAGGTGGCCCGGAACCTGCACTGGAAATCAGGGCAGGTGACCCACACCCAGGGCAGGCATGGGGCAGCAGGACAGGCAGGCCTCTTCCCAGGACAGTTAACACCTCTCCGTCACTTGGTCTGGAATAACTGCGTTTTCCATTATTAAAAAAGGAGTCTGACACAAAGTAAGATGACTTTTGGACTGGCTGCAGCTTTCAAGATAATTTAAGCAAGCACCACGATTCGACCTAAAGCCACTGGGTCCAGACGGTTAGATGATTCGAGGTGTCACCCGGCTCTGGGAGTGCAGGGCTGCTCACCTCCCTGAGGTCATTTTCACGGGTAACATTGAATTTATTATTGTTATTTTACACGTCCACAACGGATCCTGAGTTTATGGGCCACGGATTATTTATATTTCTCTGCGTCATTCTTCTGTTTTAATCCTTAATCATTTTTTTAATCCAAATAGCATCTCTTAAAGTTCACTGTGAAAGTGACAATTATGCTTGATTGAAAAGGGGAGCTAGCCCTAAAAGGGACCACAAAACTTAACGGGAAGCATCGAGGCTTGGACCTGGATGGGGAGCTTCAGAAATCACTCAAGGCTGGAAATGTCTCAAGGGGGCCGTGGCTGCTAACTGGCTTCTCTGGCCTGGAGATTTGGGGATAGGTCTTCACTGAAGATACTGCAAAAGCACAGGGCTGAGCTTCTTCAGGGCGTTGTAGCAGCAGTTTTAGTGTAGGGCTCACACTTTGGAATCAGGCAGGGCTGGGTTCAAATTCTTTTTTCTGCCACTTGGTTATGTGATTTTGGAGGAATTATTTAAATTTTATGAACTTTAGTTTTGTTTTTTTTTTCCCCTCTGCAAAACCTATATACCATCAGCCCCGTGTAGAATTGTGAAGAGTGAGAGGCAATATGTTTAATGTCCCTAGAAGACACTACAAGCTTGGTAAGCGGAAGTCATTATTATATGTCAGATTAACGAGCTTGGACATTAACCTACACAGACTAAAGGGATGATAAAATTAGTATTTTAGGACATTCAATCCAATGGCTAACGTCTTTGGAAGAAGCAAACACTAGCACCTCCTAAAGCCTCCTGGTCTATCATCAGCTATGCAACATGGCCCAAGACCGGACACCACCCAGAACATATTACAGAATGGCAGGATGCTACGGCTTAACCAGCTGGTGCCACAGAAGGTTCCTGAACCCTCCACACCACTCCCACCCTGCCATACATCCTGGGCAGGGCAGCATCCTGCAAAGCTTCCTGCCCCCTAAACCACTTATGGACTCTATCCCACCCCAGACCCCTGCCCTAAGCCTTCCTGCTTGTTCCCAAGACCATTCTCTCGTCTCAGCTTCCCAGCTGGGCTCCTTTCCCTGTTTACAGCCTAATGCGGCCCTCGGCATAGCCTAGAGCAGGGGTCCTCAAACTTTTAAAACACGGGGCCAGTTCACTGTCCCTCAGACCGTTTCAGGGCTGGACTATAGTTTGAAAAAAACTATGAACAAATTCCTACGCACACTGCACATATCTTATTATGAAGTAAAAAAACAAACCGGCAGAAACACCCGCATGTGGCCTGTGGGCCATAGTTTGAGGATGCCTGGTCTGGAGGGCCGGACCTGCCTGGCTTCCTTTCTTCCTGGACCACGATTTCTCTTTGCCCCAGCGGCTTCCCCCTGCCCTGGGCACAGGTCAGCCTGGGGCCGCACCCCCCCTTCCCCTCAGCCCCGTGAGCGGGACTTAAGCAGGTGGAATTCCCATTCCCAGGCACCACACCGGCATCCCTTCCCCTCCAGGGCACGTGGTCTCTGAATCTGTGCTCACAATCACGGTTCAAATGGTGACAATAACAGGACATATTAAAAAAAAAAAAAAAAAAAGATCTTGTCTTCAATAACTCTATACGTTTTCATATAATATATCATAATATATCTTTTGTTTCCAAGAACACATATAAGTTGTATCGCACAGTATGTAAGCCTTTTCAGATTGTTTCTTTCATAGAGCGATAATGTGCAGTTTGGAGCGTTGCTACATGCCTACAAGGCCCCTGCTCTCCTGTGGTTGGCTTCTGCAGAAGCGACTCCGCAGAGGCACAGGGACTGGTGGCTGGGCCAGGGGAGGGGTGGTAGGAATTTCGGAGAAGCCATCCGGGGAGGAAGGGGGCCTTGGGACAGGAGAAACACAGTGTTGACCCAGGCAACACCAGGAAGCGAGCGGCTGTTGCGGGAAGATCGGAGAGTAAGAGTGGGAGGTGGCTGGCTGGCAGCTGCCGTCCGCCCGTCCGGGTGTGCTTGAAGGAGTACGGGTAGGGAGAAGAGGGACCCACAGGGCCGTAGCCCTAGGAGCCGTGGGATGGGCTGGTTCATCTGACCTTCTGTTCCACGTGCCGACTGTCTTCCCCATGGACTGCGTGCTTTCCAGCCTTTCCATCCTTACCCCACACCAACCCCCGCACAAGCGGCCCAACCTTTAGCGCAACTCCGTCTTGCTTAGTAGTAACTTGGCGGCACAAACATTTGAATTGCTTAAATTGAATAATACTGTAATTGACCCAGATGTTCTTAAACAGTTTGCTTTTCATGTGACTTGACATTCGCTTCAGGAAACAAAGACTGTTTTCCCTTATTGTGCATTGTGACTCTCTTAGCAATTCCGATGGCAAGTTGGCAGCTGCTCAATGTTAGGAAAATCACACTCGGCCATCCCTGTGTTGCTGTGGTCGGTGGCGCTGGCGATTTAAGACCAATATAGTCCTTTTTTTTTTTAATATGTCCTGTTATTGTCACCTTTGAACCGCTGATTGTGAAACTGCACAGCTTCAGAGACCACGTGCCCTGACGGGAAGGATCGGCGTCGTGTGCTCCTGGGAAGGCGAAGTTCCGACCGCCTTAAGTCCGCTCCCGGGGCTGAGGGGAAGTGGGCGTGGCGGCCCCAGGCTGAAACTGTGCCCAGGCAGGGGAAGCGACTGGGGCAAAGAAGAACTCGTGTCCAGGAAGAAAGGAAAGCCACGCTAGGTCGTCCGCTCCAGCACAGGCATCTCAAACCTACTGGCCGCAGCGCCACGTGCGGGGTGTTTTTGCCGGTTTGTTTTTTACTTCATTAATAAGACATGCTGCGAGTGCTGGTCGTAGGAATTCTGCTTCAATAGTTTTTTTCAAAACTATAGCTCCAGCCCCTGTAAACCGGTCTGCAAGCGGACGTGAACTGGCCCCCCTGTTAAAAATTTGAAGGACCCCTGCTCTAGCGCTGTGCCAGGGCCGGCATTAGGCTGTAAACAAGCGCGCAAAGGGCCCAGCCTGGGAAGCTGAGACCGAGAGAATGTCTTCCGGAACAGGCAGGAAGGCCTTAGGGCAGTGCGTCTGGCGGTGGATTAGAGTCCATAAGTGGTTTAGGGGGCCAGGAAAGCGCTTTGCCAAGCGGATGCTGCCCTTGCCCAGGATGTATCGCGAGGCGCGGTGGGAGCTGGTGTCGGAAGGCGTCGCAAACCTTCTCGGGCACCAGCTGGGCTGTAAAGCCGTAGCATCCTGCATTCTGTAATGTGTTCTTGGGTGGTTCCGTCTGCGCCATGCTTGCGCATAGCATGCATTGCATAGCCAGGCAGGGCTTTAGACCGTGCTTAGCTGCCTTGGCCTTCTTCCAAGAGACGTTAGCATTGGATTGCAATGTCCTAAATACTAAATTTTATCATTACTGTTCTTGCTGCAACACATTTTCTTCCTCCCTTAGTCTGTTGCTAGTTAATGTCAAGCTCGTTATCCTGACATGTAATAATGACTTTCC